AAATGTTGTCTTCAAAGCATCTGATATTCTCTGGGGTGGAAACGCCACTAAAGTCACCCTTTCACATTGTTCTCAAAATCTCACAAGATTCTTTGAGGTTCGATAATGTGTTTCACGCTGATGGGCTTGTCAGAAAACACAACAATAGCTTTGGGTGAAAGAATCTCATGTGTTTTTGATTATGTGCTGCCTGGCCCATTGTTTACGCTGCGAGCTGAGAAACACACTGAGTCCAGCTGTTGTGGAATATTTCTGCAGCTGTAACCGTGCACCATGCCGTCCCACAGGTTGCACCGCAGGGGTCACCCATGACTGATTTGTTGCCTTTTCCATCGTCCTATTCTACATTTAGAAGTCAAAATGTCGAAAGGCTATAAAATTATATTTTTGAAGGGTTTATTTTTCTTTAAAGCTAAACTAAAATGATAATGACATTATGTTTTAAGGAACATGCCCAAAGAACTGTCCATACGCTTTTATGTTTGGCATAAAGAAAATGGAAACTGGATGCTTATGAATGCTAAAATTTATTGATACCTAACATTGGAGGTAGGCGTCAACCCCGCCACCCTGCAAGGACAAGCAGAAATAGATCATGGATGGATGAAGTAAAAGTGAAGCTTAAGCATTTGTCTCCTATTTTCTATGCATAAATAGTGCAGAGAAAACCATAAATTTAACCAAAGTTTATTTTTAAAAACAGAGAATGAGTTAGCACATATTAGGTCGGCTTCTTGTTAAAGATGTGTGGATGTTCACTAAAATCCCACGCGAGTAAAATTGGCCAACATGTTTACATGTTTCTTCCACCTGCCAGCCACGGTCTCGGTCAACTTAGTTGCACTCTGTCCACTTTCATCAGGCTGCCATTTGATCCAGCGCAGTTGAACTCGAGACCTTTGACAGGGCTGCAGTATCAAGGGCGACAGCAAACTGAGTCATTAAGAAGGGAGGGTGAAAACGTGCCAGATGATGACAGAGCAACCATTTATCACAGTCACAGAAACATCTGATAATGGGAAGAAGGAAGACTGATTTTGCTTGTGGTTCTCTGAACCTCTTTAAGTCTGCTGTGGTCTACAGATGTGGAGTCTGACTGTGAAGTTAATCACTCACACACACTCAAACATCTCAAAAAGACTTCGCACAAATACGATAGTAAAACCCCCTGCTAGTGAAAGGTCTGTACCTTTCAGTAGCAGGGGGCACAGTGATGCATATGTGCCTCCCTATGTCTTTTAAATCAAAAGTGAACAAATGTGAATAATTACTTGCTCACCTGGAAATGCCTATTAGCAGTTTCCTCTGTCTAAAAACTTTTACACAGAGACGCATACACCCAGATGTAGCCAATTTTGATTCAAGCTGATGCAATCTCTAACTGAACGACAAAGTCATGCGTCTCAAGTATAGTCATATTCAAAAAAGTAAAAGCTTATTTATAACTTATTTCACTAAGTGAAACACATTCTGTGGACTAATTACACACAGATAGAGAGAAATGTGGGCTTAAAAAAGTGTATTTGATACCTACGTAAAGGCTACTGTTTTTAAAAGTTACTTTTAATCTGACTAACGAGATTCAGATGCATAATCAGATTTTTTTAATATGACCTCAGTTTCAGTCCATAGATGCTATAACTCTGATATCCACTAGATGTCAGCATTCAAAAGCAGTATGAGTACACACTGATTCAAAGATTAATGTTAGTCTTGAATAAAATATTTGCCTTTTCAGTTCGCAAGATAAACGTAGATATTTATGGAAACAATTCAAAAAGTATTTATGTGCATACAGAGTGAATAAGTGTTAGTAACATTTCCATTATGCCATTATAGCAAAAACAGTGATAAGTGAAACAAATACATTGATTAAAAGATTTTTTTTTTTAATGAAATGAATGAACTGAAATGGTCCAACCATAATAGATGCTAGTATTTTAGCTAGGTTTACCTTTTTTGCTAATTTTGGCTTTTACGTGGGTTTTTCACACTGCATGGACTATTTCCTACCTTTCTGCAAGTCTTCAGCAGTTGGCTTCAAACGCTTTTGCCATCATCACCAAAAGCATTCAGCATTGAGCATTTGGCATTCACACTTGAATTTTCATAGGAAATGCACACTTTCTAGTGTTTTATTGGGCTTTTAGGTGGTAAACTGACACAAATTAGAAAATTGCTTATTTTTACTCAATTGTCTTTAATCTATCATCCCTATAAAAATAAAGGCAACAAATTGACTCTACATCTCTAAACTCTGCAAAGCTATCACAGCTGCTGTTGTTTTGGGTTTAATATGACAGAATGCAAATAAAATCAAATGGCCAAGATTTAGTTTAGTTTGGACAAACTTCCAAACACATTTTTATGTCTTGTCTTTTTCTCTTGGCAGTGAAACAAAAACAACAACCAAAAAAGAAATACTTAAGATTGTTGGAGAAGTCTGACATGCAATTTTGTGCATTGCAACAGAGAACAACATGTTCCCCCCCTCTCTGGAATAGAAAGACCCTGCTGTCTCTTCAGATGAAAGCAGGTAACCACTGACAGTCAGAAAATGTCAGGCTATCTAAAAAGAAATTAAACAAAGGAGTGAGTCACTTATGTGCCCTGCAGTATAGAGTAGAATAAGTTATTAAAGCTGAGAAGCTGCAGATTTGCAAACAATGAATGTTCAAAAATAGCAATAGTTTTCCCATCCTTGGCACAATCTTCCACCGAATTATGAATTTTTTCCTACCATGTTGTGCATTTTGAATAAATAAGTAAATACTTGGAGTTCAGTGAGATGATAAACAAGTTGTGGATCAAGATAGCTCATGTGGATGGTGTGGTGACCTGAGATACAGACTGCTCTTGTGATTTGAACCTGACATAGCTGGATGTTGGATGTTGTTTATTTTCTTGAGTCTAACAGAGTAAATGCAGCCTTCGGGCTTTTTTCTAAATTCCCTATTGGATCTTTACTTTTCTTTTCTTTTCTTTTCTTTGTCTCAAGACAGAACTTCTGAGGGACAGAATAACTTTTTCATTTCAGATTTATGATATTTGTGGCTTTTAGTTAGGCACACAAAACAACTGCTAAAGGAAGCGCGACATGACATTTTTAATAAGAAAACTTTCTCATTCTTTTCTTTGATGTTTTCAGTGAGAAACTTTAATGTTCATTCTCGGAGCAAATGATGGAGTGATCTGAAATGATTGTAGCAGCAGCCCCGCTGCAGGACCACACAGACAAAAGACTGCAGAGGCATCAGCACCATCTCATTTAGTTTGTCTCCCACAGAAGAGTGGGAACATCTGAGGAGTCAAAGCAGGGAGGAATGCTAGCATCAAATGCTTTACAGCCTCATGCCAAGACCACAGCAGTTTGGTGTAATGATCCATGGATAGAGAGGTGTTCATTAGTGAGAACATGTTTGATATAACTAAATATGGTTTCATCAGTTATTAAATTAAATTGCACCACTCGTGTTGGCAGAGCCTGGAGTACCTCTATTAAGTTAGTTCTGATTGTTTACTTTTGTAGACTTCATCTCTTAGTTTTTATGTTTTTTTTTTTGGTTGAAGCATTGAATGTTTGGACAAAGTTTCCTCTGGTTTTGGATGTTGTGCAGCTGGAAGGTTTTTTTCTCTTATTTTTGTGCTTTTAGACAGTTTTTTAAAATGTGTACCCTTGGCAATAATGCATTGTTTTTACAACAAAGAACAGCTGATTAGCATCCCAAAAGCAAATGAGATGGATTAGCAGTGTTTGCCAATAATTTACAGTGTCATCCAGAACATGTTACTGTGGAATATTATCTCGGCTGACCAAATATTGAGTTGTTAGTATGACATGACAGTCATGAGACTGTCACATTCTTCAGTCAGTGGCTTATTCAGATTTGTTGCAATACCGACCGCTACCAGAGACCCTTCTCCTCACAGCATCACCATAAACAGCTAATTTTTAAATGTACTGGGATGATATGAGTGATGACAAAATTTTATTTCCCTTAGGCATAAATGAAGTAATTTAACTGAACATGGAGATTTGAAGACACAAATACAAGGATGTAATGGAACAGGAGATGTACATTATGGATGTGCAGCACACGAATCTGCAGCAACTGTATGATACTGTCATGTGAATATGAACTCTCTAAGACATGTTTCTGACTCGTTGTTAAATCTCTGGCAGGAATAACAAAGGCAGATCTGAAGGCAGTAAAAGGTCCAACCTAGCATTAGCGAGGTGTACCTAGTAAAGTGGACAATGATTTACATAAAATGACAATAAATTAGTAACTTGTTTCTTTTGCTTTCTTGTCAATTATATTTATTTCATTTTAACTTGTCAAAAAAGCAAAATTAAACATTAAACATCTTGATAATAACAGGATGTTTGAACACTTCTTGACATGCAGAAAGTATATTTACAGAAAATGTCCATTTCTTTCAAATTTACCCCTTTAGCAATCATCTAATATGTTACATAGTGTAAATCCAAATTATCCCCTGAGTCTTTCAAACGTTGTCATTTGGTCACAAACTTTGAGATAAAGTATTTCATTAAAAAGAACCGAGGATCATCTCTATTCTAATGACTCTCCAAATGGATAGAGAGGTGGTTCTGCTGACACCTGTTGGCCCACTGCAGTACTGACATATAAAAATCTGTCCTTCCTTATTATTTAAAAAAAAATCTCTGCAATAAGTAATCTGGGACCAACTTTTGTTTTCTGTTTTTATGTTACTATTTTAAGTTTGCTGTAAATTATTTTGCTATTCATATTTAAGAAACAAATCCAATCAATGTCAGACATTTTGGTTTTCAGTGAGCCTTTCTTCAACGTAAAATATTTAACCTGTAGATACTTTTAGAGTAGAGATCTTCATGTGCTTTGTAATTATGTATCTTTAATTATTCCCATTATCAAAACCTTTTTGGACTCCAACAATACGAGGTTTCTTTGCAATCCCATTAAAAAAAAAAAAATAATCAAAATGTGTCCCCAGGTAAATAACAAAATGATGAAGAATTAGCAGGCATCCCAACCATAACAATTAAATTTTAACAGCTCTGTACAGGATGATAGATATAAGAGTGTGAAAGAGGGATATTGGTACAGGTACAGATGCCAGAAAATAGTCACAAACTGTCAAAGATGTAAATTACACACATGCATGTTAGCCTTTTGTCCAGCAAGCTTTGATATCTGTCGTTTCTTGGCACAAAATAAACAATTCTACAACATTAGTATAAGTTTCACAGTACATCCAAGTTGTTAGAATGCTACAGTATTAAGGAATCACAGTGAAGTAATAATCACTAATGTGATGGAGTGAGATGACTGGTATATTAGAAAAACGCATCATTCCTCCCACCCCAGTGTGATCAGTGTTTCACCTTCTATAGTCCCACAGATAAATGTGATTCTGCTCCACCTACACTTTTTACATATAGTTAGTCCTACACTGCATCTGACTGGATGGCGTGCCAGCGGGTGGTTTCTGTTTGTCCTGGACCGCAGATTTCCCTCCAGTGCTCCTGTCCTACATCTGAAGTATCGCCGCCAATCAGTACGCGTCCCAGAATACTGTTCTTAGTGTAGAGACGGCCCTGTAACAATGAATCCAGATTCAGGGACTTGATGGAGTATCACAGCTTTCGTCGATAAACGTGTAATTTTAAAGCACACATTTCATTTGTCTAAAAACTCAAACCTGCATCACGATGAATTCGAGAGTCAGTGGCAGCTGGGTGATGTCACCAGGTGGAAGGTCAAACAGGAAGGGAGCGTTCCAGATGGGGTTTGGTCCACTGGCTGCTTTGGTCTCCTTTGAGTCGATTATTTTACCATCCTGATGTAAGTTTATGACAACATAGTGATCTGTTAAATAAAAAAGAAAGAAAAAGGCTATTTTTTTGCTTGCTAGTGACACACACCTCTTTAATTTGACCTTTGAGTTAAATATTTTATTTTCACCTGCCGGTTTGAGACGACCGGCTGGATTATATCTAGCTAAAAGCTAGTTCCTCCAAATGGAAGTCCAAATTGGGTATATTTCCTCCTCTGTGCACTTGTCACAAAGATTTGCTTCTGATTGGCTCATCATTTCCATGTGACGACTTAGAGAACATTTTATCTTTTATTCAGTTGCACATGAAAGTGCCTGGTAAAAGTTTGTTAGCGTTTCAACAGTTTCTAATGAGTCTTAAATTATTTTTACTGGAATTATTTTATGTGCTTATAGTTTCAGATGTACTTTTCCTGAGTTGATTTAAGAAAATTGTTAGTTTTTTGTTAGCCTTGCATTGTTCACATAGTGTAAAACAAAGGATTGCATCTACTTCAGGCAGACAAACTGTTTTAATATTGTTTTCAATGTTGGAACTTATTTAAAAAAGATAAATTAGATTGCATTGTTTCTATCTATAGTTTTCTTCGACAGTAAACAAATGCAATTATTTATCTTATTATTTGCAGTGAATGTTTATTTACAGAAATCTTCCGTTGCTACACTCACATAATCTAAACAAACTTGTTTATTTCCTCATAGCTGCCGCTTTTGCATATCTCCAACATCACCTGGAATATATAATTACTGTTGATAATCCATTTAAGAAACCTTATTAACTTTACTATCATAGAAAAACACCGTAGCTCTAGTCCATATGTTGTGAAACATTTTTTTCTTTGCACAGATTCTCCTGCTTCCTCCAGTCCTAACCAGCAGAAAATCAGATGCAGCGAGATATGGCATAGACCGGAGGGGAAATGACTTCTGGGCTGATCAGTTTTTGATTCAATTATGCCACACGCCAAACAAGGAACTAACTGCAGCTGGACTAAGCAGGAGAATGACTAATTTTATTGTTAATCTTAGCTTTACCAATTAAGGGAATGAACCCAAATCTAAAGGGATGCAGGCAGATTTAGCTCTAAAGTGAATGTTCCTTGTGACTGGAATTAATGTCAATACCTTGAAACTGACAAAGTTTCAATACCTTGAAACTTTGGGAGAAAATATTATGTTGAAGCCTTCCAACCTTAAAATTTTGAAGTTCATTATCAAAGCTAAATCACTAAAATACCTTTTTAAAAAATTTATACCACATTGTTTTATCATTTGACAGACCTTTGTCACATTTTCTATGAGAAAAACTTTTTTGTGAATGAAAATAATTTTAAATCCAGATTTGTCAAGAGCACAAATAATTATGAGCTTGCTGTTATCAAGCTCAAAGGCCTATCAGTTGTGTTTTCAATGGACTTTATTCAAGCCATTAGATAATATACAAAAAGGTCAGATCTGGTATGTTCATTAAACTAAGCAAGTCAATTTTATTTTATTTTTTCTTCTCTCATTAACCTTCCCTACAAAGTAACTAAGCATTTGGATATTTACACAGTTAAAGTGTCCCGACAGATGCATTTTTCCTTGTTTAGGTGTGAAGTGGATCTTCACCTGGAGTTCCTGGGATTCGTGTCAACTTGACCAAATTATCAGCCTTTCGAACCATCACTTTGATTCGCTGAGCCAGGGTCTGGTACTGCAGCAAGATGAACAGTTGGCCCAAAGTCCGAGGCACGCAGATTGAGCTTTTCCTGCATCCCAGAGTCTCCTGAGAACTGAAACTCTGAGGACAAGTAATAGGGAAGATCTATAGGTTAAACAAAACAAAAATGTCATGACTCTCGTGAGAGGAAGAACATTGTTTTTTTTTTCTCTACAGATATGCACCTTATATTCTTTTGACGACAGAAAATATATAAATGACCAGTAATATCTGATTCAAGTCATAAATCATAAAATCTTCCCATTCTAAGCATATTTACATTAAATTGTGAGCTACTTAAAGCTAATAGCCATCTTTTTCTTTTTTTCATTTTTCTTGTTTTCATTTAACTACCAATCAAAAATAATAGATGTTTATGTTCTTAGTCACTTTAGATAAAAGCAACAACTGACGTGTACTTCCCACTATAATTTCCATCTGATTTTATGTCAACTCTGATCAGCTTGAACTGTGAAAAGTCCAGTGAGTCACTTTCTGCCGTCAGACGAATGAGCTTAAGCCCAACAGGGATTGCTTGGCGATTTTATTCAACAAGTGTTTTTCAGCTCACTGCCGCTGCCACTACCGTTTCACCTCAGATGATGTCACTCAAATGAACAACACCTTTCTAAGTAGCAATTTTAACTCAGCACGGGCATGTTTACTTTTCACCGTCAATGTAAATTCACTTAGTGTGTTGATCTCAACAGATGCCTTGTATATAAGCAACATAGAAAGATGATAGCATCGCCCTCCTACACATTTAGTACTGTAACTTGCACATACGTTGTAGGTTCTTTAACCTCTACATGTACAGAACCAAACAGAGAGTAGTATCACTTCAGCCTTTGCAAAGAGGGAGAGTCATAGCTCCAACTTGCCTCCCTGCATCAGCCTGGCTTTATTGAAAGCGGGGTGGGGGTCGGACATAAAACAGAAATTTAAAGATAAGGAGTAGTGGTCCCTCTGAACTAGCTGAAACCGGTTTCTCCAAGAACAGGATGGTCCACCACACCTTGTATCAGCTTAGAGCAGAGAGATTAACTACTTATTCATGAGATAACAATTTGCAAAACTCTGACATACATGATACATCATTTACATAGAGCTGTCACTGAAATAGTGGAGCAATGACCCAACAATAAATGCAGGCAATAGTATGCAAACACTGTACTGCTGAAGATCCACTCACCTTAGCATGTGGGATGCTTGAAAATTAATTTGACTGCATATCCTATTTTTAGATAAATAAACAGTTATCTGCATTCTTGGAGGTAGCCAGAGGATTGAAATTTCATTTCCAGGGTGTAAGTTAAATATGGGAAAAATAAATAAAATGCAAAGTTTCAAAAGCAACTTTTGCATTCATACGACACAACATATTGTGATAATCTATCATATAAAATTCTTCCAATGATCTGTTAGCTGTGTTGGAAGCTAACTGTGGTTTTGCTAAAACTGTGACTCTATATGTGGACAGTACATCTGCCTGTATGAAAGCAGGTTTTTTTTTTTTTTTTTTTTTTTTTTTTAGATAAATAACTGATTGTTTAATTTGAAAAAAAAATGCTAATTTTTTTCTCTGCCGACTGAAAAAAACATGACATTTGCTGTGGATATTTTGGACAATCGCATTAAAAACTGAGAGCATGCAAACAAACACAGGAAATGAATAATCATCGATTGGCCTCTTCTCAAAATGCCCATAATCTCAAAACCTTTTATTCCAACAAAATGTCAAAGCAAGAAATGGTAGATGAATTATTGCCAGTAACCTCACTGGTTACATTACAGTGATTAGAAAAGTGATGTAGTAGTTCATATTCAGAATGGGCAGACCTCAAAGCTGGAGCCACAGAGCCTTGACCAAGTTACACATCACTCTTCCTCTTGTATATTGTATAAAGGGGAAGGGGACAGGAAATGGGCTTTCCCAACAAGAACAGTGGTGCTCGTGAGTGAATACAGTCCATTGAAGCCTCAGGCTCACCCCCCACCAAAAGGCTGTTATTAATGCCTTTTGGCAGCATTGCAGCTGAGTCACAGAGAGCACTGCGTGGGCGCTCATCCAATTTGTTTCACTCGGCCTGTTTGTTCTGCAGTCACTATCAACAAAATCCCCATGACTAACATCTATGGAAAACTGGCTAATGGCATAGCTGATTAGATGTATGTGACCATAGATTAAGTAAGTTATTTAACAGGGTGCAAGAAAACTTTCCCTATCCATTAAAGCAGCAGAGAAGACTTTGCAAAGACCTTGGGAAGACTTCTTTTTTTTTTTTTCAGCGAATCCATGATGTATTCACTGCAACACAAAGTAAACAAAAGCAAGCAGCTCACAAACATTTTTAAAATGTATCAGTTAAAATTATAGCTTTTTATTGTATAAAAAATATGGCCATGATAAATCATTTTATAAATCATTTTTGTTAGGTTATTTCTAATAATGTGATATTTATATTGTGCAATTTAATTGAAAAGAAATATGTTAAAAGGAAAAATCTTTAAATAGCATCTAATTTTGTTTCAGCATTCAGTCTATTTTTTTGAGGATATCAGCATCCCTATCAGCATCTTTTCGTTGATTCGTCAGAAAATGAACTGGAATGTCCTCCAAAGTTGTTTTTCCCACTTGGAAAGTGGGAGCAACTCCGACTACCCCAGATTTCCACCAAAAACTAGACCAAAAATACTCTGATTTTGTCTTTTTGCAGTATGTAAGAAACTTGTAATTTTAGTATCTGTCTCTAACACACATTTAAGACAGTTTTTTAAAGCTCTTTTTCTATGTACCTTTTTCAGCTTGATTTTGCTTGGGATTAGCTGCTTGGTGTAGGTAGTCTTGGAGTCAGGCTCCCACTCAATCTCCTCACAGGGTAACTCCACTTCCCCCAGAGCGGCCTCTCTCAGCCCAGAGAAGTCCCTGCTGTAGAGCGCCAGCCTCAGGGTGCAGGTGCAGAGCTCCTCCACAGAGCCCACCTGCAGCACAAAGCTCTGGTTGACCAGGTCTGGGCAGAGGCTGCGCCGGCGTGGGGCTGTCTGCTGGAGCGAGGGGTGAAGTGGAGGGAGGCTGGCGCGAACAAATACCCCACTACGCCTTCTAGTGTCCCCAGAAAGCCCCAGGATGTTGACCACCAAGGTGCCAGAGCTGGAGCTAAAGAGCAGAGAAAAGTGCAGAAGAGGAGCTGGTTTGGGTGAGGCAGAGATGGAGTTGGAGCCGTACTGAGGGTGACATGGCTCCCCCTGCTGGCTGTTAATGCTGGGAGCACCTGCTGTAAGCCGACTGCTCTCACTGAGAGCATAACTTTCTCCACTGACAGTTCTGCGTCTGCCTATCACCCGGCGGGATTTGGACACAAAGCTGAGCTTGGTGAGGGAGGGCAGGGAAGCCCTGCCGTGACTAGCAGCTTTACTGGGAGAGCAGGGCAGAGCAGAAGTACTAAGGCGCCGCATTGGGAAAGTAGCTCTGGGAGACTGGGCCAGCTCAGCGGCTCTAGAAGGGCTGTTGTCGAATGGGAGAGTGCTGACGTCATCTTCAGATGGAGAAGATCTACTTTTAGAAGAAGGGCACTCCAACACATCACCATCCAGCTCTTCGTACTGCTGTTTGACAGGCTGAGTACATGGAGAGTGACTTAATGTCACAGTCACACTCTCAGCGGGATGAGGGGACAGAACAGCTGCTTCTTTGTCTTCAGAGGAAAGGCTTTTCTGTTTGCGACAGCAAAGGATGCAGCCAAGAACCAGACAGTAGCAGAGCACAGCCAGACCCACAGCCAGCACAACCTGCAGGTGGACTAGAAAACAAAAAGTCACAAATAGGCACACTAAAGGAGGAAAATAGTATCTTTGGTTTAACAAGTTAAAAGTATTGCAACATTATTTGGCACCAATTAATAAATAAACATAACACCTATACTAGAAAAATTGCTGTTCCTAGCAAAACAGCCGTGAGAATGCAAATCTGCAGAATGATTGCTGCAAAATATGCAAGAAAGAGCAAAACAAAGCATAAGAATTAGGGAAAAGTAGAAGAAAGCTGTACTTGAATTATGAATTGATATATGAGTTAGCAGAAGTAGTCAAATGCAGTATAATGTACGAACACTGAATATTAATAAGAACAAAGAGAAACAGGAACTAAATATGTGAGAATCCACTTATAAAAAGAAAAAGGAACTTAAAAGTGAAAGTTCCTTCATGCATTCTCACTGATATTGAGTCCTTATTTATATCACAGAAAATCCAGTCATGATAAAAAGCTGTTTGTTTGTTTGTGACTAAGGCCGCAGGAAAGGAAACACAAGCATTAGGATTATCATAGACTGACAAATGAAATCATCTCCAGACTTTGACTCCAAATGAAGATGAATCCATTGCAAGAGGATCCTGCTGAAAACCATTATCTTGTTTCGTCTGCAATCTGCGTGCTTGATGAAATCAAAGAGGAAATGTTGAAATAATTAAAATGATATAGCTGGGCGCTCTAGCAAGACATCTGCGCTTGTTTTTTGTTTTGATTCATTAATTTTTTTTTGTAGAGATTCAGGTTACATTTTCAAAATCATGGTTGAGTCATCCATGAGGTGTCAACATAAAAAAACGTTTAAAAACTAAGAATAAAGACCAACATAGCATTGATGTGTTTTGCATCACAATCCCTGACTTGATTTTCCGCGTTTTCACAGTCATCTCTATTAGCATGTAATTGTAAATTTGTTTTTTAGACTTAAAAGAGATCGGAGCCACATAAGCTGCTGCGGTTATTTAACGTCACACAGTGGGGGTGTATTAAGATGACTCACCCTCCATAATTGGATTTTTGTGAAAATCACATCAGCCAGTGACCATGCTGAGATCAACAAATACTAAAATGTTTTCTCTGTCAGGAGTAAAGTTAAGCTACATCTCCACAAGGACAAAAAGATTAACTATAATCTAGTGTAACCCGAGGTGTGTTCCTCCTATAAAAAGATCATCGCATCAGGCAGTAAAAGCTCTTGAGAATGAAACCAATCAACATCCATAAAAGATGAGATCACTATTCATCAAGAGAGCGATAACTCTCCCAGCACAGACCCAGCAGCCCCATCACAGAGAGTAACTGGTGGCTCCCCTCCATTAGGAGATGAATCTACTGAGAAGCGATGAATCACACTGATAAAAAATAGCTTGAGTCTAAATTAGCTGTTAGAATGATAATAAAATAATACAAATACAAATTTGAAATCATTTTATTTAGGAAGATTTTTAACATACCCTTGAGAAACTAACTGATTTTGCATTTAGTTTACATTTAAAAAGCAAATAGAATATTCAGTATCTCAGTTTGTTTTGCTGTTTTTTATTATAAATGATTAACTAACTGTATAAAATGAATCCTGAAAAAAAATACTTCTGGAGGTTCTTAGTTTCTAGTGGTGCATCTAAAGTTCTCAAAGTACATTTTAGTTCAAATAGTCCTACAAGTAAACCTGTTTGTTTAGTTGTTGGTGTTTTGCTTCACATTTCTTTCTTCAGTGTATGCATAAAAACATATAATCAAAACACAAAGGTTTCCAGATTATCTGACAACAAGAAATATGTAGAAGTTTATGACGAGCACCAGGATTTTCCTCCTCCCAGGACTTGTAAACCAGCTGCATCATCTGCATACAGCCAGCAATGACCATAAAGAAGAAAGGCTTACAATGTCTCCAGTTTAACCAGCTAACATCAAATACCATCCTTCCATTTGAATGATCACAAAAGATATAAAGTTAAGACTGAGGAACAGCTATGTGACAAATGCAACAGTTAAAAGGCAGCATCCCAATCAGCCATACACAAGTCATAAAATCGAATCCTCCAATGTTTTTATTCACTTCATAGAGTATTTTATATGCTCTACATTAGATTTACATGGCATGGTAAGAGCATGACTCTAGTTGATGTGACAACAGCCAAATTTAGTACTTATGAAAACAAACTAAGAATTTCCAAAAAGGAAAACGGGTTAAAGATTTGAGGGCTTACATCTATATCACCATTTGTTCAGCCTAGACATCCATATCAGAATCCATGACTTCTTGCAGATTGTGAGTCATATTCTGCCTCAAGTGTAAAAGGCTGAACTCCTGTCTGATCATTTTTCTGCTCTCAGGATCATTCCTCAAGGAAAAGCTGTATCAGGACGAGAATAAGCCAGAACTCATGCCTGAATCTATCGTGGATGGCTCATCCAGCATGAGAGTCCAAATAGATTCCCCTGAAACTCAGTTTTTGAGAAAATTCTTGTTGTTTATTACAATTCTTGGAGTTCAGTTTCAATCTTTAGGAATACCATTGGCATGAGGTGGCTCAGATGTTCACTACTGTTGTATTGCTTAGTAAAAAAAATTAAAAACATAATATGCAATTCTGTTGTGGAAATGGTTGTTTATTTGTTGTAATTGCACAAGTTTTGAAAATAAAATGCAGGCCTGTCTCTTTATATTATTGCACCACCACAGAGAATTATTTCTTAAGCAATAAGAAATACTCTTATTTCTTATTGCTTAAGAAATAAGACAAATTGTGTTGTCTTCTACAAACAACACAATTTTCTGCTGGACTCAGAGTCAGCATTATTGACCAGGTTTGTGCACAAACAAAGAATTTGATTTCATACACGCAGAATACAGATACAGAGTAGCCTATAGATACTTTGCAATACACATGGATTTTGTAGTGAATCTGTTTTTAATATTTTTAAGGAATATTGATGCTGATATTCACTCTCCTGCAAAATGTATTTTTTGTCAATTTTGTGCGATAAATCAGTGATGTTAAAAAAAAACACAATTATCAGGGCCAGTCATTGAACATTACAGTGATGTCTAATCTGAGGAGTGCCAATTCAGTCACTTTCAGAGATTAATTGTTAAGAAGTCGCAACAGCTATTATGTTAAAGAAATAACACAGTTTATATTTATTTACTCATAGATTTTTTTTCCCCGTCTCATTCTCACACTCAAGAACTTGGGAACGAGCCTGATAAGATATTTGGAATAGTCTCCTTTCATGCTTTAGAATCCGATTTTTACAAAAGTAACACGTGACAAAGTCTTACACGGAAAACACATCCTACCTCCCAGAGAATACGACATCTTCAGCGTCTGAGGGAAGCTGGGTCAGAGTGAGCGGACCATCCCGCAGCGATCTGACAACCATCCAGCAGCTGCTTCATCTTCTGAGGGAACCTGCGTCGGAAGGATGCGAAGAAGCCCCACCTTCTTTCATTTTAATATCACAACTCTTCTACCATAGCTTCCCCAGCTCTGGGAAAATCTGTTCCCCCTGTGTCGGGAACGCGCACTGCAGCCAGAGAGGCGCGGGTCCGACTATTTTCACGGCGCTTCAGATCGATTCCTCTGTAAAAAAAAAAAAAAAAAAAAAAAAAAAACGACTCAGGTCAGTTTTCAGTTTAATTCACATCTGCTGTTAAAAACAACAACAAAACTCTATAATAAGTAAATAAGTGAAAGTGGTTTTGTGTGTTGTTCTTCTTACTTACCAAATATTTCAGCTTTTTAAAAAATAATCTTCCCCCTCCATAATACGGAAACAAACTCATTTACCTGTCTACTACTTACTCATACAACCACACAATTCATTTAATTTTATTTTGACTTTTTGCAACACAAAGTGGAAAAAATAATAAGTGGAAGGAAATGAACACATGATTTTTAAATACTCAATGCAACCAATTGTCATTGCAAGTCACCTAATTAGTAAGCATGTTCTACGTGTGTTAAGTAAGCAACAGAATAGAGTTGTGGAGAAGTTTATAATAGGTAATCTTCTAAAACTGAAACTATTGATTAATTTCCCAAACTTTGAACATCTGTCAAAGAGCTGCTTCATCACCTAAAACAGAAACAAATATGGCACAACTGCATACAAGATATGGCTGTCCAGCTAAACTGACTGACTGGCCAAGAGGAGCATTTATCAGATAAGGATTAAAGACTTACTGTAGAGGAGCTGCAGAGATTCACAGCTCAGGTGGAAAGATCTGTTAACTGGACAACTACTATTTGTGAGCTCCAAAAATCTGGCCTTTAATTGAGGCCATTTTAAAAAAAAAAGTGTAATATGTAAAGCCAGATAGGAAACACAATAAATGTGGGGAAAAGAGAAACCAAAAATAAACTTTTTACTCTATATGCAAAACACTGTGTAGAGAGAAAAAATGACACTCCATATCACTCTAAGGTGAAACATGGTGGTTTTATTCACCTATACTGGGGAGTAGGTGAGAGTAGATAAAAACATAGGTAAATGAAAGGTAATTATATTGAAAAAAAAAAACTTTTGGAAGATTGAAATGATTTGAAACTGGAATCAATGTTTACTTGGCAGCAGGACAACGACATCTTATTACCACAGGCATAGTAAAAGGCTTTAGATCAAATCATATTTGTGTCAGGATGGCCAAGTCAAAGTCTAGATCTAAATTCAACTTTGAGCTGCAACACAATTTATTTATTTATTTATTTAATATGATGAATATGATGAATACTTACAAATAGGAGTGAGATATTTAATTCATTTTTTTATTATTTTTTTTGCATTCAAGCCACTTTCTTGTCATTAGTTCATTGGTCTCAACGTTTAGAAGTTTATATCTCACTAGACTGACGTTTGTTGCTCCAATTATCTCAGTGAATCCGTTCATGTTCCAATTTGCAGGTAGTACCTCTAAAAACAAGCATCAGTTTAGGTACAAAATAGTTTTCAATTGTTCCGCGGTTTAAATCTTAAAACAGACTTTTATGAATGTGTCATTCCAAAAAAGAGTGACAGAGAGAGGGATCGTCCATCCTTCCTGGTGGGAGGTTTGAGATGAGCTGCGCAGAGCCGTACAAACTGACGCATCCTCCTTCCTCCTCCTCCCTTCCTGTCGGTCTCTCTCTTTTTCCTCCTTTCCTACTTAATCTTAGAAAGGTTAAGTAGAGTCTCTCTGTTAAACTTCCAATTGCCACTAGATGGCAGAAATTAAACAATGTTTTAATTCGGGGAAGAGTCTGTTCCTAACATGAAATGTGTGTCGTGAACTTTAACTTTGCACTTTGTTTGCCCTCGAAAGGATATTACTTTTATTGTAAATGACCACAGTTTATTTAGAAAATAAATAAATGTAGTTGAATTGATAGTGGTTTTGTTTGGAAATCTAAATGAACTCTTATCTTATTGGAGCTTGGAGTCGTGGGTTGTTGACAACCCCTCCCACCTCAGTTAATTCGAGGGTGAGACGCGGACGGCTGTTTATTGACTTACCTGCTTTGACAAAAATGTTCACCTTACTTCTACTAATTTTCGCTTGTTGTTTAAATGAAGCGAACTTACATTCGCCGAGGATGGTGTTCAAATACAAAGGTAAGACATGTTTCTATTTCTGTTTTTTTTTTTTATCCCGTAAATAGTTATCTACTCACAGCCGTTCACATGAGAGCACGATGTTCACTGCAGTCAGAAAGTGAACGATACGAACTATAAAACATTGCAATTGACAGGAGGCAACTGGAATCGATCTCATAACGTTAGGACTGGAAGACTACTCTTTCCACTGAGCCTGCTGTAAAGAAAGACAGCAGGCTCTATACATTTTTTAATCCGATATAAAATCGTACTGTAATGGTGGCACCATATTGCAATATATACTATATATAGTCTGCAGCTACAATACAATATTATGTTGATAACTGCCTGTAAATGGGTGGCAGTGTGGCACACCCCTTAATCCCCTTAATGTACCGTATCATGACAAACTGTTTTTTTCAGTCCGATCCCAGAAGAGAGTTCTGAACTTAATCTCCTGTGTTCAAGAGCAAAGACTTTAATCTTGAGTTCATCTTTGTGCCTTGTGAGGGTGTAGATCTTTTCAGTTAAATGTTGTTCTACTCTGAAATACTAAATTAACAAGTGAGGCTGTAGATATTATAAGTTCAAGACCTGCTTATAAGTGAATACGGAGGAGCATTTTGATGTGTTTATGGATATTTTACTGGGATATGGTGTGATAGACAAAATAGTGCATAACAGTAATGTGTAGGGAAAACAGTGGTTTATCTATGCAAAAAATAACATTAGATAGTGTTATGGCCCCCTCCTTCGTGAGGAGGAGGGGAGTAACAAGACAACCACAAAACTTGACAGAGTCCAAGTGAATGTTTTAAAAAGGAGGGATTTATTGACAATGAAAATCCCAGAAGGCTCACACAAACTGTGGGGGAGAAAGGAGCGGTTAGGTGGTGCCAAATCAAAGAAAATAAAACAAAACAGGGCTTAACTACCGTCTGTGCTAAAGAAAAAAAGAAAACAAAAACCCTGCCCATCTAATCTAACAAAAGTTTCCACCAAAACTTTACACGGGTGGCACCCACCTACTTACCTAGTGTATCTAACAGAAAAAACACCTACGTGATGAAATGTACAGGGTACCCCAAACTTACCTCGCCCTCTAACTCCCACCACAAACCTTCACACAAAGAGCCACAAGACATGTGTCAGGTAACAAAGCCAATTGTTACCTGATGCTGATTGGCCCATGGTTGATGAGGATCAATCAGGGGAGATTGACACCAGCTTTCCCTAGTACCTGTGAAGAGACAAAGGAGGAGGGGAAAGAGAAACAAACAGCCTGGCAGGCATGTAACAGATAGTAATCACCATTCTGCTACATTAGAAGCAGAACAGGAATTACAGCTGTGCTCACCAGCCTTGCCCATCTGAACACAGTCATGTCTGTCCATTTTTATTTGAAAATGAGCTCAAACCCAATAAGACGGAAAATACCCCATTTTTGAACATCAAATTTCAAATAATCTTGTTGGACGGCGAACAACCGCGTCAGTCCCAACTATTTTGTCACCTTAACAGGATTTCTGCCTTCTCTTTAGCTTCTTCCATATTTCTCACCCGCTTGCCTCGCTCTACTGACGAAAGGCATTCACACAGCACGATGCTGCCATCACCATGTTTCATCATAGCGATGGCGTGTGCAGGCTGGTGTGGATATTTCCACCAAAACATAATCGGTGAATGTGAAGTGAACGTCATAGAAGCAGATAAAGTTTGCAATAATATTGTTGGTAATTCAGTCAAAATAAAATGTGTGTCATATGTTTAACAACCTGTGATTGTGGCATGATCACATGGTTTCTGGTGAAAGATGATTTCCCATAATACCTTAAAAGGTTAGTCGTGTACAGCTATCTATAGCAACAAATGTGATGATGATGTATGTGTGTATATATCAGATATAAACCGAATAGTCAGAGGTGGGAAATCATCAGCAGATGTGAGCAATTAGGTAGTTGCTTTATTATAAAAAGCTTTACGTTTACAGATATTCTTCATTTTCATTCCACATTAAAAGCTTGGTGTGTGATTAGTTTCATGACTCCTTGTTAAATTTTGTAACATGTTTTGATCAAACAGGAAAATACAACCGCAGATCACTTTGGTTGCAGATGTCGATATATAGTGAGGCTGATATTTTCTCAACTTGTCCTTACTTGCAGAGGCTCCAGTTAAAAGGTTTCCATTGCGTGAACATTTGCCAGTTCAGATTCTCTTCGAAGAATGGTCGGCTAATGTTACATCTGTTGAAAAGACCCGTCTGGCTTTCTACAACTTTAATAACACCAGGAAGGTAGTTATTACATTTACATCGAATAAAACTGAGGAACTTAAGCCATTCCAGAACTATTCTATTAGTAAGATTCGTTTAGAAGCAAAGTAAAAAAGTCCCATATCGTCTTTCACAGGTTGCTAAAGACACAGAGGTCCAGTGGAAGGATTGCCCCAGGAATGTGAGCATCATAAAGTCATTAGATTCACCAGAAGTTAATCTATTCCAGTTCCATTTCCAAAGATATAAAGACAAATTTTCTCTTGTCACCTAGGACTGCAAAATTGCAGTGGTTCATCAGAGGGAAGAAGGAAAGCCGCTGTTTGTTTGTGCAACCAAAGACAGGACATCACAATGCTGTGACCTGGTAGGAAACTGCAGAAGTGCTAATCAGAACTGACAGTTTTGCAGAACAAGTTGTGTTGCACTTCACATGATGATAAGAAGACAATAGCTTGGCTAATTATAAAACAATTTCATCAAGACAAATAAAAAAAGGAAATGTTCCTGTTTTTTGTTTCAAACTACTGGGGGGGGGGTGCGAGAATTTTTATTGTTAAATCACATTGTGTTGCAAGATTGATTTATTATTCCTCTTTTTTTTACAGGATTCATCAGGGTCACTCACATGTGCTAAAATCGACAATATTAACACTTTTAACATTAAGGAAGGTGAAAAATCTGCTCTTGATGGTGAGTTTATTTTTACAGTCTTTTTTGTTTTGTTTTGCTCAGCTGTTTCTGCTCTTTGCTTTATGTGTTTTCACATCCTGTCAGATTTAAATTCTCACAGGTACATTTACTCTCCTCATCCTTATAGGAGCTGTATTTCGTCAATGTCTGTGCTATCATTTGATTCTGTCAGCTTGGATCTAATGGTATTCTCTTTCGCTTTGCTTCTACTCCATATGGTATTTGTCAGATGGAACCTCAAATTTGAATCTGACCTATAATGTGCACCTGTTCTGTTTCAGAAACTGATGCAAAAACAGATCTCTACCTTACATCCTCTGGAGCTCACGAGAATGTTGGCATCCACAAGTTTGGAAGTAAAAGAGTGAGACCAGTCAATCATGGGAAAGGTATTTACACACAGTACAAAACTCTTTTTTTAGCCCTTTAACATTACGTATTTTTGAACATTACATCTGCAATATTAGTAAATACACAGAGTATATATGGTGTTTAATTTTATCTCAATATGAATCCAACTGTTTTATGAAGACCTGTTGGAGAACATTTGTGGGGAAAAAAAGAGAAAAAAAAAGAGTATCAAGAAGATGAAGGAAAACAGCAGGCGATGTGGAGAAAGTTAAAGGAGGAGACCGGGGCGGATGTTCATCCTCCAGCAGAACAATGATCCTAAACCTACAACCAGTCCAGGAATTATTTAGATCAAATCATATTCATGTGTTGGAATGGTCCAGTCAAAGTTCTATCCTAAATTCAATTGTGAATCAGTTGTGGAAACTTGAAAAATGTTTTTTTTTTTTTTTTTTCACAAATGCTCATCATCTAATCTGAATTGACTTTAAGCTACTTTCCACTCAAGAATGGGAACAATATTCAGCCTGTAGATGTGCAAATCTGTTAGAGTTCTTGAGCTGATGCCTCACATCTGCTCACCTGAGTTTATAAAGGTGTTGTGACATCAGCAAAATGGCTTCCAGCACTATGAATGCTGGGAGATGCAGTCTGAGCTGTTTGTTTTAGTAAAAGGATTCCAAAAAAAAATCACATAAAAATCCCATTAAAACACATTCGATTTGGTGACTGATTGACCATTTTTGTTTTATCTAATCACATTCTATGTACTTTTGTTTTTCTGTCTGTAGAGCAGTACTATTTGGGATTGGTTCTGAGCAAAAGACAAGACGAGCCATTGCAGAACAAAGTTTATTCTTTTTATAAGCAGAAAAACAAAGACACAAGCCCGGGCTCTAACATGTGGCTCCCCTTTGTCAGCCAAGTTTGCATGGTAAGATACTTAAAATGAGAAAATGTAATCAGATTCACTGCTTACGCTAATCGAAATCTGGATCAGGATGATTGATCATGCATCTGGTGGCTGTTTCCAGGCTGACATGGGGGGTCCCAAGAACAACCTGCAGTTTAGCTGGACGTCTCTGATGAATGCAAGGCTCTACTGTGGTCACAATACAGCGGACAACAAACGACATTTCTTTGAGCTGGTGGATGTGGCTACTGTACATTCAGACCATTGGAAGGACACCAGAGTTTATGCACTGTTCAGAAATGAATGGTAAGATGTCAGTGTGCAAGAAAAGTCACATTGACAAATGAAACTTTCTTATTGTTATATTGACAGAAACCAAAGCTCAGTAAAATGTTACATTAAATTTAAGTTGTTCACATTTTGACATGAACTTAAATTAAATAATGTGCTGTTTGTTAAAGCTCTGGACTAACTGGAGTGTTTCTCTATCACTATTTAAAAAAGTAGCACTTGTGATATAACCAGAATGACTTGTCAGCTGTTGTTTGCATGATAAACATTTGCAAGTCATGTGCAGTCGTGAGCAAACAAGGGACAACTGCATGCAAACATTGTGCAAAAGGACATGTGCAATACAAATTCTGAAGTAAAGTAAGAGGAGTACTCTATGTGATCTCTGTGCTTTGGGTTTTGTAAAGCTGTCAACATGGCCATTGCTAACACTTGCTCCATTTGTGCTGTCCACTTTTCACAATGTTTCTTAACCACTTTCAGATCTGCAGTCTTTTTTAGCCCAAGAGCCACTTCTTTTTTGCAACAGTGTCTCTGTGAAACTCTGCTGACTGTCATTTCTTTATGCAGGGGCATGAGTGCTGTGTGCGTCTACACAATAGGAGACATCGAAAACGTTTTCACCAGATCCCCCTTTATTGATTCAGACAAGAACGAAGAGGACAGGAAAAAGGTATACAAGTGAAACTAATTTATAATAGGAAATGCTCCATATGGAGTGCAGGCATCTCTGAAGAACTCAGAATAATGTCAAAAGTTAACTTGTTTTGATAATTAAATTGTGACACTTGCTCCATGACATTATGTCTGAAAATGTTTAAAAAGGATTTTTAATGCTAAAATAGTGTCTTATGTCCTACAAGATCACAGAGAAAACTGCTGACTTGACACTTGTCCAGCAGACGGTCACTGACACAACTTGAACTACCTCAAGTAGTTCAAGCTGCAGATGGTCATTGCTCAAGAAGCTGGCCATTCAGGATATTGTTGCCACGCATATAGGCAGACAAGGAAAACATGTGTTAGAAAATGTGCACCAGCAAAAGGGATAACTGCTGACTTGAGAGGATTGAAAAGGGAGGCCTGTTTTAAGTGTTTGAGGGAAATTCTTAAGGTATGAACTACAGCTAGAGCCACTGCTTCAAAAACCACCACACAGTATTGAATACAGGACACAGCTGTCCTGATACGTCATGACACAGCTATGTATTCAGGCCATAGTTGGATACATACCAACTAGTCCTGAACACATCAGTTCAGGACTTCAATTTCATTGCTTGAAACTGATGTTGATAGTTGCGTTAACTCAACTATGGAACCAGAGACAATGTCCGAAGCATTTGATCTTGACTAAGCAGAAAAAGGATTGTACTATTTCTCAGGTCTAAAGTTCACTTTTCAGACGAAATCAAATTTTTCATTCCACTTTATGAAGTCCCAAGTCAGTGCAACCATCTTCCAGTAGATGTTAGAGCACTCCATGCTTCCTGTTTTAGTAGTGTTTCATAATGTTCAAATTTTCTGGCATGAGTAATTTTGGATTTTTATTAGCTAAAAGCCATCATTATCAAAATGACAACAGTAAATGACAGTATTACATCACTCTGTGTAATAAATGAGGTCAGTCGTTTATGATGTTCTTACTTACTGAGATACGGCTCTATTCTCTAGAAATTATTCCATGTTTGCATCATATTGAGTTGAAATTACTTCAAGTTACAAATTAAACTGGGAAGATTTGCTTTTCTGTGACACCTTCTCAGTACAAGTTATTGTATTTTGAATTGTAAATCAGTCTATCGGTATCTGTGGGAACAAAAAGCTTAACAGCACCTCAGGGGGTCACGTCTTAATTAGCAACAAATGAATACAGGATTTTTCTAACGTATGAACTTTGTGCCTTCAGTGTGTTCTTGACAGCACCAAGCTTTCTACTAGCATCCTGGGGAGAGTCGAAAAGGTTTTGGAGATGAAGGAGTGGGTGAAGCCCAGGATGGGCCCAGTTCTCTTCAACCATCACAACTACACCCGAATCCTTGTTGATGCTTCCCCAGGGAATCAACACGACGTTATGTTTCTCTCTCTAAGTGAGTACAAGTTCCCTAAACTAGTTACGAAATGAGCGGAAGTTTTCAAGCAACCTTAAGAACGTTCAGACAAACATTTGTAAGTTCAAAAAGTACAGAGGAGTCAAGCCATTGTAGAGTTAGCCTGAGCTGAGTGAAAAACGACCTCTGGAAACTGAAGCCGGGCTTGTGGTGCGACTAAATGGGCGGCTTGCTGTATTAGCTGATCTCATTTCAGCTTAGTTGAACTTTTTTTTTCCTTACATCTTGGAAGTTTTCTGCTTACTGGTACAACTCTTGCTGATTAGGTTCAGATTTACGGTCATGTCTTGAAAGCTTAATTATAACTTGTATTGGGTTAGCAAGTATAGATTTGACCTCTTCCCCTTGTTGCTCACACATCAGGTTTTTTTAAAAATAGCAGAGAAACGTCTGCTTCTGAGATGATCTAATGTAGGACCTAGAGCTAATTCAACATGCATCACTAACTCCCTCAGGGATTAGTGTATTTTTATTTTACCACAGGGGAAATCATTATATTCCCTACTGATTTTTGCAAGCCTGCTCACTATTAGAAAAACAGTCAGTCTCTTATTCCCATTGTGATTTCATTGTTATAGGGAAGGAAAGCGTGTCAACAAAAAGTCCGGAAAAAAAACATTGCACGGTAATGGTTTTGCATGTGACTGAGATAAATAAGCACGAAACTTGCTTATTTATCTCAGAAACTTGCCCACAAGTTTCTGAGAACTTTACGTTCTGTCATGAAGTGGGGTTGTTGATGGTGAGGAGAGACGCTGAGACCCAGGTTATGGTGATGATGGAGATTTAATGATAACAAAGCACACAAACAGTCCAAGGCAGGCAGCACGGCAGGAACAAGCACGCAGCTAAATACCGGTAGCAACTGTCAAACGGACTAGACGGAACAAACACAAACCACAATACATACGACGGAAACATACACAAACGACGAGGACCCGACGAGGAACACAGACAACAGGAGGGTTTAAATACACACGGGGTAATCAAGGGAATGAGACACACCTGGGGAGCAATCAACGGGGAGGACAGGACAGAGACTCACAGGGAAACAGGACTGAACACAGAAAACTCAAAAATAAACACAAAAACACGGATCGTGACACGTTCATTTACACAAGTTTCTGAGAACTTGTGGGCAAATACATTTGCTGCCTGGTACATTCCTTGTCATGAGGGATTATTGGTGACTCCTCTAGAAAACAAATCCTGAAAGTCTCTAAATGTTTTGCCGCTTAAAGCTTCAGCTCTGTCTGGGGTTTTCTGTAAGAGTTTTCCATGATCCTCATCCGACTACATGAGGTGACTACTTTGGATATGTTTTGATCAGCAGAGGGAAATACGATTCTCAAGTAAGATGTTTGGCCAAATGGCAGTGAAGTTGTCCTGAATGATCCAAAGCATGATGCTTCCTCCTCTGGGCTTGATTGTTCAGATGTTTATTCAATGTCACATGCTGGTTTTTATTTTAATTATGTAAAGCACTTTGAAATGCCTTGCTGCTGAAATGTGCTATACAAATAAAATTTGATTGATTGATTGGTGCTACATCCAGCATTTCTCGGCTAAGCTCAGAGAGCCAAGGCGATATAAAACAAATTGATTGTTGTCTCTTTTGACCGTGGCATTTTGTATCAAGCCTTTTTTTAGTTATTTATATGCTCACCTGCAAACTTGATTGATTTGTATTAGAGGTGGGCATTTATTTTGTAAAGTACTCATTTATTTTTTTAGTAACACACAAATCAATTTGTTTTATGTAATTTTGGTTTTATGGATTTTTGGATAATATTCTTACTTTACATTAGCATTAAATGATTATTTAAAAAAAAAACAGACTGGTTCTTTTGGGACACGTATTTGCCTCACAGTGTATGTTTTATTTGGGCTCTGTTACCAGATGATTCAAAAATACGCATGTGCAACTTCCTGGAGGTTGACCAAAAATGGTGCCTGACTCACCATGATAAGTAAAAAAAATAGCTTTTCTGGGTATTAACACAAGATTATTCTATTCTTAGCACAGAACCCTATATTTGTATTTCCAGCTAATAAGAACACAATATTTTAAGCTCAAATATTACATCATACCAACAAAAAAAGAAAAGCATAAATGTGAATAAATGTAAAGTATGTTAACAAACTGCTAAAGGTTATTTTCAAAAATGTACTTTTAATCTGATTAATGAGCCCAATAGACTGTATATTCATTTATTTTGTCCAGTTTCTTCTATTACTGTTGCCTACCAATAGGTTGTTCTTCAAGATGTGTACATCACTTTGGTTGCCTCAGGTTATGTTTTTTTAAATTACACAATAATTGATTTGATGTAACTTTGGGTCTACCTATGACTGTTTCCAAATTTCTTGTCTGGGAAGTGTTGCAGAACATTGAAGTCAAAAGTTAAGATTCATTTACACCCTTAGGGGACAAAAGACATCTAGGTGTGAAGGCAGGTGTGTGTCATCATCTTCCCTTTGTCTTGTGCCCTTTAACCAGGTAATGGTGCGATTCACAAGGCAATACAGTTGGAAAGTCATTCTTTCATCATCGCTGAGTATCAACCTTTTAACTACTCAGCCCACATCCTCAACTTTGTCCTTAACCCCTCTACTGTGAGTAACAAGTGAACACCTACATGACTGATCCACCCACACAAAAGTCTGACTTAGTGTTTGGAATGATTTTATTTAACTATTATTACAGGTTTGAAAGAATTATGAAAAAAAAGTGTTTTAAAAAGATTGTTTGTTTTTTTTATAATAAAAACGTTGGTGAACCTTTGTTACAGAAAAAGCTGTACGTGAACTCACAAACTGAGCTGGTCCAAATTGACGTGGGAAACTGCGGTCAGTATGGAAACAACTGTCCGGACTGTGTTCTGTCCAGAGATCCATACTGCAGCTGGGAAGCCCAACAATGCACCTCTGCGACGAGGTAAGACCTCAAGGCTTCGTCCAACCACCGATGTCTGTCTTTTGGAGTAAAAAATGATCCAACAGAGAGGCTTATCTACAGACTCTCTAGCAGAACAATAAAACTTTCACTATGTTTGTTACCTAAAAACAAAAGTGTTTTTCCAAAGATTAACTTGACCACTATTATCATCTGGTTAAAAAAAAGGAATAGGTCAGATAGAATGCTTGAGGATTATGTACAGATGTGCCATCAAGGGTTTGAATCCTATTATTTTGTATATTTTATCCTTAATTCAAAGGACAGTTAGCAGTTAGCAGTTCTTCCGCTTTGTCAGTGTCCATTGCCACAAAGTCCTTGCTTGTATAGTGACTAAACCTTGTTGACACATATCCGTGGTGATGAAAGACACAACAGTCAGATCTGCCCAAGCCTGCAGAGTTATCACTGGTTGCTTATTTTGGAATTGGATCATCTGCTACATGAGTTATAAAAAAGCCGCACCTACTGAAGGAAATTCACGTCCTTTGTAGAGCAGTTCTTTGACACTGTATAATATTTCAATATCAGTGTTGATTATATATAAAAATCATTCAGTAGCATTTCGTTTCATGGTGCATACACGTATGACAAGTAGGTGAATCTGATGACATTTTATGTTTCTTATCTAGCCAGTTGTAACAATTGTCTTTTTGTGAACCACTGTGCTGCTTAACTCTGTACCAGTGCTGAAGCTTTTTGGTCAGGATGCAGAGTAGCAGACTGCGCAGGCATGAAAACGTTGCAGTTTATCTTAGCTTTATTTGCACACCGCTTTGAATTTTGACCAGAACTTAACAGTAACGATGATAAAATCAGGTGCACAAACAGTAACAACTTGCTTCTCTTTCTCCTGTCTGTAACACGTCATGGCATTTCCTACGATTTTCACTTTCTGCATGTTTCCGTAAAATGTAAGGAGCTGAAACGTTTTATAGGGATCTGCGAACTATCTGTGGAAGAACTGAAAACTACGCTCCACTTTATATTAAATTAAGGTTGCGCACCGGTTATTGTGGTTTACCTAAATTTAAAAAAAATGACTAACACAGAACTGGGTCTTACAGCATTTTGTTTCATAGTGCATCAGCTTTGAGGGGAAAACCCACTCCCTGACGCCTCTCCCCCGTCTAACCATTCCCACGTAGGTGTGAGTGGAGGAATTGAAAGTGTCGTTTTGTATCAAGATAAAATTACAAACTTTTTTTTATAGGAATGTATTCATTTCAGTTATTTACAAGACAGAGATTAACCTTAAATGTAATTACAAGATTCTGTAGAAGACAGGTCCATTAATGATTAAATAAATAATGGAATCCAACTGTGTCTAAAATCAGTCCAGATAAATCCAGTTCATCCCAAAGTCGTCCAGTTAAATCAAATACTGTCAATCTGAGGTGACCCAGCTAACTGGATAGAGTAAATGACTTTTCAGTCTTTGTTACTAGTATGACAAATTGTAAGCCTAAATCCAACAAAACCTTTGTTCAACTCTTTATCAAAAGAGTTTTTTTATTACATAAAGTTAATTCCTGTCATATTACTACTGGGAACTTTTTTTCATTTTTAATCATGTGGTAGTTTGGAGTTACCCATAAAATGTGACTGCATGTGACTCATATACATACAATAAACAGATTAGTTAGTTAGTCTGTCTACAGTTAAGTGAAAACTGAGCTGTACTGAAGTTGTTGCATTGTTGCAGAGGCCCACATCAGGGGAAATGCAGTCATTTCCGTCTTTTTTTTTTCTTTCTAACGAGACCCTCTGAAACCGCACAGCAGCATCTGCATACACATTATGTAGTGTGACAGGTTGCAAGCTCTGGATAGGAGAGCCAAGGGTGAGGGGTGTTAGATGATTGATTATGGAAACTTTATTCACAGCCTTGAGTTGGTTTAAGGCCACTGACTGTTTGTGGGCTCAAGGAAGGGCTGACAAAGGGCGATTAACAGAAGACAGTGAGGGAAACGTATTAACTCTTTGAATTAATATGGGTTACAACACATTTAAATCCGCTTTGGGATCAATAAAGTATTTTTCAACTGAATAGAGTTTGAATTACAGGACATTATAGTGGCTCACAATAAGCAATCCTTTACTGTAGAGCAATAGCTGACAGGTGTGCAGTTAGGATACAATTTGCATTTTTAAAGATGGCAAACACTTCATTTAGCATGACTGACTGACGTTACTTCCGTTTTACAGTGGTGCAAGTTCTGTGGTCCACAGGAACCATAGCATGTGCTCAGAAGACCTGGCATCACCACTTCGACGCTCAGCTGGAGGTACTGACATATTTATGAGTGTACTTGCCTGTTTTTATTTAAAATCAAGACTGTCAAGTGTAAATGTATAAAGAAACAGGACTTTGCTTTGGGTTCAAGGTGACTCAGTTAACTACCATTAACATCACTGCTTTCAAAGTATTTTTATTGTTTCAAAACGTAACAAAACTAAGGAGCTTTTCAGAAATATGCCTGCTTGTGTTTTACATTCAGGAAACAGTCATTTTACCTTTTATAGCAAGCTCTAACCAAATGCTCTTTAACCAATAAACAAAAGCAAGACAAAATGAAATTAAGTCATGCAGGGTTCTGTTTTACTCACGATGTGATCCATCTTGTGACTTCTGCATTTATTTGGTTCCTGTCATTTGACTTATCAGCAGCTTCCTATGTTTGTTTAGAATATTAAGCTTCCACTGAATCATATACTTAGTTGTAAAAGTTTTATGTTATATGACTTTGCATGATATTTCCCTGCTGATAGTTTGATCATATACTGTACAGTTCATGGATACATGCAGACAGGGAGCCTTAAATTGCTGCATTAACAGGCATGGAGGTAATTCATCATTATTCCTAATCCACAGCAGTTTGGTGTTGGTATACATCCTGCATATCTACTTGTAGATATTGTAAATAATCCATCTTGCTATCAATGGAATGAACTTTAGCACAATATAGCAGAGTCTTTTCTTTATTTAGCTCCCATAACTACCAACTCAGTCAGTCTGCTCTTTGCAGTTAGCTATGCAACACCTCTTTTATAACAAGCTGTCCACCATCCTCCGTATAGCCTCAAAGGCCATCCTTATCACCATCAGAAACTGAAAAAAAACAAAAAACAAATAAAATCTTTTTTGCATGGAGCCAAAAATAAATGTTTATTTTCCTGGAGGAAAAAAGGTCGCTCTGAACGTGTATGGAGCCATTCCTGAACTTTCATGAAGAATGAGGATGAAAGTAGCTCATTAAATGAGTAAATAATGTAAACCTCCCAGTCAGTGTGGGGGATCTTGTTATCAAGAGATGCAGGACTGAGTTATCTACAGTGCGATCGTAGGAATTTACTGGGCAGCTTGCTCGAGTCATTTACCCGGTTGGACAGCCTGAAACACACAAAACTGATACATAACAAATTAGATGAAGTTTCTGTTACTTATGCTTTTGACTTTAACCAGTGCTAGGCTTCCCTTTTAAGTCTTTAACAACAGGACAACTGTTTTTGTTTTTGGAAATACTGTTATTTTGTCTTAAGGGAACTATTATCTTTGGCTTGGTCACCTCCTTGTTCTCCTGTGGAAAAAAATAAAAGTGGAACAAATTGGTCTCCATTTAGACTGCAACTATTCAAGTGTGCTATAAAAAGCTTGTCTGTCCTGAGTGAGATTACCTTATCTCACATCCTCTAACTGATTTCTGGTGCTAAGAGAGCTTCCTGTGTTTACAGAGTTGTCCAATATTACGGCTGATTTCAGCATCCAGAAAAATGCCTTCCGTCTGACTTTTTTTTGACCAGCTTACAAATGTCCAAATATTTGGATTAGCTCTGTTTTTTTCTTCTTGTTAAACCAGAATTGTTCTTACCAAACACATCAGATCCAATGAAATGTTTTATTACATTTCCCTGGTTTTATGTTGCTCTCACTTAGATCCTATCCCTTCCCGTTCCACATTCTGAGTTATTTCAACTGTTTCCGGCTTCTGCTAAGGTTTCCTTTTTATTTTTCAGAGAACTTTGGTTCCCACAGCCTGACACCTGTTCTCAATTTTGGTTCTGCAGCTCCTCAATATTTTGAGGTTTTATGATGTTTTACCAAAGGTTCATCTAACCTACTTAGAATATCCTCAAAGGTTTTTGACAGGAGGGTAGGCCACAATAGGTCATTGATGAAAAGCTGGGTGTTAAGAAAAACACTGTAGTCAAGCATGTTACTGGAAAGTTTAATGCAAGGAAAACATGTGGGAGCAAAAAGTTCACGAGCAACAGTGATAACTGTGGCATAAAGAAGCTTGTGCATGGATCAAACTGATCAAATTGTGAAGAGAATTTAATCAGCTAAGATATTTTTTGCTTAGTACACTCTCTTTTCAAAAACTTTTCTTTTTCATTTTGAAGTCAAAGTCCCAGAGTTGGAAGGAAGCAGCTCTGTAGGGAAATTAACAAAGACATGTTTAAACTATAGGTGGTGATGTCAAAAGGAAGGAAGATCAATGTCAAAATAAAGCAGGGGAATTAGTCAACCAGAACATGGAACATAGAGAAACAAATTACATATGAGAAAAAACTCCAAATAGAAAAAAGGAACTATCTTTTTTTTTGCTGCAATGGGTAGTTCTGTTCACTGACAGATGACGCCCTGAGGGCTTATCGGTATAGCACACTTCATATCTGGTAAAAGCCCAATCTTTAGTGGCCTAATTTCCCAGTAGCGATGTAGCCACAGGCTTCTCAGAATTACTATGCTAGGTTACAGTTCTGATTGTATCTAAAGAGAAGTTATGTTTTAATCATGAAAAACAAACGCACACAAAATAAAATCTTCTGACTGCTTCAAATACACAGTTTGTCTATACAAACTTTACAGAAAGTAGCATCTGTAGAAGGCAGGAAATGAAATTGTGGGTTTTAATTTCCTTTAGAAATAAAAATATAAATGTGTAGCTTTTATTTGCACTTACCCCAAATACTACTTTGTAGAATCACATTTTACTACAACTGCAGCTGTGAGTCCTTTGCCCCCATCAGCTTTGTACATCTACAGACTGAAGTTTTCTACTTTTTTTTTCTTTTTAAAGCAGCATAAGCTCTTTTCAGAGCTTAAACCTCTTTGAGCATCAATTTTCAGACATTTCAACCACACTTTTGCGACTCCGGCTGCATGTGTACGGTTATCTTTCTAGTGGAATTGTAAAACTCCTCCACTTTCCAGCAACTTTTCTTCCACTATTGCCTCGTACTTAGCCCCAATTATCTTCTCGTGACCGATGACCAGCTAGTAAGGATTGATGAAGTGAAGGCATGAGAACTAGATAAGCAAGAGACTAACTGAAACAAAAATAATGTTATTTAAATAAAACATGACAAACACAAATGGAAAATAACCTAGAGAAAGAAAAAAAAACTTGACATCAGGACAGCTATAATCCACAAGCAAAGAAGCAAAGAGTATGAATAGCTATTCAACAGCCAGACATCATAGCACAGAATGATGCCGCCGCAACCACATTTCGCTGCAGATGTTCATCACAACCAAGTTTTTTTTTTTTTTTTTTTTTT